TATGATTTTTGTCTCTTTGACAAAGTTCAACATAGCACAACTTCCTAGAAACCCTCTTCATCCATTTCTCCCCAATCCCATTCTCAAGACAGCACAGGAGTGAACCTTTCCACTCTCTCTTTAAAACTACAGGCTTACCATTCCTTTCTTCATTCTATCTTCTTTCTCTCTTTTCTTGCATCTTTTTCTTTCTTTGGGGAGTTTTTATTTATTTATTTATATTTTCCTTCTCCCATGAGCAAAATCAGGAGCTCTGCTGGCATAGTGCCTAAGGCATTTGACTGCTAACCAAAAGGCTGGAGGTTCAAACCCACCAGCCACTCCTCGGAAATAAGATTGGGCAATCCACTTCCATAATGATACTGCCTCAGAAACCCAAGGAGGAGTCACTATGAGTTGGATCCGACTCGACGGTAGTGAGTTTGTTTTTGTGTGTGTGTGAGCAAAATCAGTAACACTTTGCTCTAAAGTGCAGTTTGACAATATTCGTTGAGCAGATAAATTAAGCCCTGTAGTTACCTAATGGTATTATGTTGGAAAGACTATAGATTTTGGATTCAGAGCCACTTAAATATAAATCATGCCCCCACTGATAAGTTGAGTGTAATCTTGTAGAAGGCACTTAATCTCTCTACACCTCAGTTTCCTCATCTCTGAAAATGAGGATGAGAATAACATCTGTGAGCTGATTTGAGTACTAAATGAGACACATATTTTCAGGACTTAGTGTAATGCCTGACATTGTACCAGTGCAGACCATGCATGGCAAGCCTGGCATATTATAAGCACTCAAATAAATGATAACAATTATATATTAATAAATTTTAAAAGTCCCTTTAATCCCCAGCAATAGAAGGTTGTGCAGCATTAGCTTTGATAAGTGTTTCTGCTTTGTATCATTCACAGATGTGAATCCCACAGACCAGGGTTCAAGGAGAGGATATCTGGTGACAGACTAGACACGCTTGTCTAGTTCCTTGTATATTTTGTGTTCACAGTGTAGTTCATGTCTTGATCTGAGGTGGAGAGGAAATTAATATTTATTGTGTTTCTATTGTGAGTTAAAGACTCAGCTAAGTGCCTTATATGTGTGTCATAATTTAATATGCACAGCAACACAGTGAAGTATTTATACTTTACAGCTGAGAAAACCAAGTCTTGGGAAGGTTAAGTAATTTATTCAGTTACTACGTAGGTACTACATAGGTACCTACTGTTGTTGTTGTTAGGTGCCTTCAAGTCATCTCCAACTCAAAGCAACCCTATGCACAGCAGAACAAAACACTGCCTGGTCTTGTGCCAGCCTCACAATCCTTGCTATACTTGAGCCCATCATTGCAGCCACTGTGTCTATCCATCTCATTGAGGGCCTTCCCCTTCTTCGTTGACCCTCCACTTTACCAAGCATGATATCCTTTTCCAGAGAATGGTTCCTTCTTATAACATGACCAAAGTAGGTGAGACAAAGTCAGGCCATTCTCGCTTCCAAGGAGCATTCCAGCTGCACTTCTTCAAGGACAGATTTGTTAGTCTTTTTAGTGGACCATGGTACTCTTAGCATTCTTCTCCAGCACCACAACTCAAAAGCATCAACTCTTCAGTCTTCCTTATTCATTGTCCAGCTCTCACATGCATAAGAAGTGATTGAAAATACCATGGTGTGGGTTAGACTCACCTTAGTCTTCAAGGAGACATCTTTGCTCTTCATCACTTGAAAGAGGTCTTTTGCAGCAGATTTGCCTGATGCAATACATTGTCTGATGTCTTGACTGCTACTTCCATTGGTGTTTATTGTAGAACTAAGTAATATAAAATCCTTGACGGCGTCAATCTTTTCTCCATCCACTGTGAAGCTGTTTATTGGTCCAGTTGTAAAGATGTTTGTTTCCTTTATATTGAGGTGTAATCCATACTGTAGACTGTAGACTTCAATCTTCATCAGTAAGCGCTTCAAGTCATCCTCACTTTCAGCAACCAAAGTGGTATTATCTATGTTTCACAGGTTGTTATTGAGTCTTCCAATCATGATGCCATGTGTGATAGTTGGAAATGTGTGTCAACTTGGCTAGACCACAATTCTGTGTGGTTTAAGCAGTTGTGATGTGGTTATTCCCATGATGGGATTGGATGTATATGTCTTGAGCAACCAATCCATTGAAGGGAAATTTCCCTGGGAGTGTGGCCTGCTTCCAATATTTTTATGGACATCTTGGGAAAAGAGATACTCTCCTGTGGATCAGGATCCTATTGTGCTGCCTACAACTGTCCATGAGTGAACAATCCACCATTCGGCCTGGAGATCTTGGATTCATCATTCATTGGAGGCAACAGCTGGTATACTGCTTGCCAACCTTGAGCTCGTCAGCCCCTGCAGCTGCTTGAGTTCAGGAAAAGCCTCCAGCTTGATGTTTGATCCAAGAACTTGGGACTTGCCAGCTTCTCTAAGTGTGTGAGCCATTTTCCTAAGATAAATTTCTCTTTCTTTCTCTCTACATGTAAGCTTTACTGGCTTTGCTTCTCTAGAGAATCCAGCCTAACACATTTGGTAGCGGGAGTGGGGTGCTGCTCTGACAGATACCTAAAATGTGGAAACAGGAGTGGAGTGAGTGCATCCTTGACCCAAGACCCTGGCAGAGAGACCTCAGCATATGGCATGAGAGACGGCAGGAGCAGAGCCAAGAGACTGGCATGAGAAATGGCAGGAGCAGAGCCCAGAGACTGGCATGAGACAGTGACAGCCTTACCAGCCCATGGAGGAGAAAGCCGGGTGCCATTGTGCAGGCAGCTTCCTGGTGGAGTAGGTTGCCTTCAGGCATTAATTGGTAGAAAAGACCAGCATGAAATGGAGTAGCAAATTGGCTGGCCCATGGAGCAAGCAAGCTAAATGTCCTTTGGGCAGGAAGATTCCTGGCAGAGTGGGTTTCCCTTGGGCATTAATCAGCTGAAGTCGAGAAACCAAGAAACTGGGAAGCAGAGCTGCCTCAGCCTCAAAGGGTAGGACCATGGCCTTTGGAGTTGGAACCACCAAGCCCCCTAGGTTTCAAAGAGCCAGACCTTCACCAACTTGGTTCTGGAGTGTGGGGTTGCTCATTCCTGTGAGCCAGTGGAATGGAGCCACAGCCGCTACCCAAGAATGAGGGGGCAGGACTGCCATGCCCAAGAGGGAGAGGAATGGGCTGGCTAGGCCAAGTGGGGTGAGGTTGCCACTTAGAGGAACAAGGGGACTGGAGCCACCCAGTGAGAGAGATCTGTGCAGATACCACCCAATGAAGATCTGTACAGGTGCTAAGTTGACAAGGGGTGGAATTGTGGTAGTTAAATTTGTGGTGAACTTGGCTAGGCCTGGTTGAGTGGCTGGGCAGCTGGATGTAGTCATTCCCCATGGTAAGATTGGTAATTAATTCCCCACGGTAAGATTGGTAATATACTAGAGCAGCTGAGTAGCTGCATAAGGATGTGCTCTGCTTCCCATATATAAGAAACACCTTTGGGAATGGTCTCTAGCTTATGGCACGCTTGGATCGTGCATGTAGCCATGTCATTGTTCAGCAGCCTGCCATGTTCTGCCAACCTTGGAACTTATAATGAACTTGAATTAATGGCCTTCCATGTGGTTTGGTAACATTGGGACTGTGGCATTTTATTTGTCAACCTTGGGCTTATTAGCCTCAGCAGCCAGTAGCTGTCTGAGTGAAGAGATGCCTCTAGCTTCAGAGGGCTGGGAGCAAGAAGCAGAGCTGAAGCCCAAGGTCCAGGGGCTTTTACACAGCCCTTAGAGCCTGCCACTTTGAACTCAGACTTTTAGCCTCCTGAACTGTAAGAGAAATCATGGTTTCTCCAAGCCATCCCATTTGTGGTATATTCTTGTCAGAGCAGCGCTAGGTAACC